CCCCTTTCCTGTGTCTCTCCTCTCTCTCCTCCCCTTTCCTGTGTCTCTCCTCTCTCTCCCCCCTTTCCCTATGTCTCTCCCTATCTCTCTCCCTCCCCCTTTCCCTGTGTCTCTCCTCTCTCTCCCTTCCCCCTTTCCCTGTGTCTCTCCCCTCTCCCAATTTCTCTCCTTCCCCCTCCCCCCATTTACCTAGAGAAGTCAGGGGCCGCCAGACTGGAGCGGCAGCTTCCCCGGTCCGGCCCTGCTCCTATCACTGCTGTGGCTGCTGATGGCTCATAGAGGAGGAGCCTGTCTCTGTACCATGCTCCCTCGCGAGGGAGCATGGTACAGAGACAGGCTCCTCCTTCATCCATCAGCAGCCACTGACAAGAGCAGGGCCGGACCGGGGAAGCTGCCGCTCCAGTCTGGTGGCTCCAGCCAGGAACCCGGCCGGCCCCCTCTGAGTGCCACCGGACCGGTATCCCGGTGGGCCAGTCCAGCCCTGCATGTATAGCTTGGAGGAAAGACGAGACGGGGGGATATGGTAGAAACATTTAAATACATAAAGGGAATCGGCACAGTAAATGAGGAGACTATATTTAAAAGAAGAAAAATGACCACAACAAGAGGACATGGTCTTAAATTAGAGGGGCAAAGGTTTAATAATATCCGGAAGTATTACTTTACTGAGAGGGTAGTAGACTGAAGTGGTAGAGGTTAACACAGTGAAGGAGTTTAAGCATGCGTGGGATAGGCATAAGGCTATCCTAACTATAAGATAAAGCCAGTGACTAATGAAAGTATTTAGAAAATTGGGCAGACTAGATGGGCGGAATGGTTCTGATCTGCCGTCACATTTTATATTTCTATGTTACTGACCTTACTTAAGTATTTAACTTAAAAGATAGCTCTCCTTTTCCTCTCAAGACTCTGGTTCCTCAGATGCAACCTAGCATCTTTCCTATCTGCCCCAACATCTCCGATGTATCCCTTGCCAGGGACTCTCCTTTATTTAAAATACTGAAGAATCCACCGGTCAACAATGTGCATTACTTTATCACATTCTGAGAGAGTATTACAGCATCTTTCCTTATATGAAGTTCTTGTGGAGCTCACAGACTCTCATACACACACACACACACACACACACACACACACACACATACGTGTTTGTATTCTTTAAAAATAATTTCCTTCTAAAGACGTAGCCCTCTACAAGTCTGATTTCATCTCTGGCGGATATTCTGGGATTAACCTTCTCACGTGGGACCTCAGTTTGTATGACTTTAAAAATAAAATAAAAAATAAGCTGTCTTCCAGGTATTCCATGGGAATCCTCTCTTTGATAAATGGTCCTTCGCCCTCATAATGTTAAAACATTTGTTCTTTTCCTTCACTTTTGTTTGTACATGAACTCGTGAGATTTATAAAAAGATCAGTAAGGCTTAACACGATTCTAGTTTATATGAGCAGAAGACATTATCACCACTAATGCTCGACCATATTTTTATAAAAGCTCTCTGGCTTTTCTGTACCATTCTATTTCCAGATGCTTTAGTCGGAGAGAGATGTGTTTTCTCAGTGGAAGGAATGCTGTCATTTGGTTAAACTTTAACTAGGTATGTGTTAGCACCCTGGAGCCTGCTAAGTACCTCTGTTTTTTTATGGGCAGTTGACGGTGCCACAGGGTCTGTGATGTGTGTGTGGGGGGGGATCCATGTATCAGAAGTGACACATTGTAAAACAAACTGCTTACAAGTGGCGCGCTGCCTATTGATTCGAGAAGGGCATCTCATTGCTCATAGAAAGAGACTGCTCCTCTTTAGGTCTATTTACTGGAATCTTGACACCTCATCCTGTTTTACTAATCACTGGTTCAGATCATCTGTGTATGTTCTGTCTACCTTCAAAACCATCAGAGAAGAAAGTAACATTTCTTTGTAGGGGCAAATTATTCTTCTGGCCGTCATTAACCCATCCATATTCCAGATCGTAACAAACCCATTCGTCCAATATGAACTTGTGAGAGAAATCCGTTGTGGGGAAGAAATAGCTTGGTAAACAAATAACAATTCGAACCATAAAGTGAATTACATTTAACAAATGTGCTTCAGCGATTCTCCATAATGAACATATTTAGCCGTTCATCTTATGAAACAAAATGGGGGCATTTTTGATCAAAATTTACAAATATTAACTCCGTAGTCTAGCCTGCAGCAACTCAACTAGACATATCATATAGTGTGTATTATTATTTTCATGTTATGATTATGCAAGTTATCTAGTTGGAGGCTTTATCAAATAAATCTTCTGGTCAAGTCTTCTCGTGTTTAAAATATAACCACCCTTGGGGGGTACAGTGAGGGGAAAAAAGTATTTGATCTCCTGCTGATTTTAAATGTTTGTCCACTGACAAAGAAATGATCAGTCTATAATTTTAATGGTAGGTGTATTTTAACAGGGAGAGACAGAACAACAAACAAAAATACAGAAAAACGCATTTCAAAAAAGTTATAAATTGATTTGCATGTCAATGAGTGAAATAAGTATTTGATCCCCTATCAATCAGCAAGATTTCTTGCTCCCAGGTGTCTTTTATAAAGGCAACGAGCTGAGATTAGGAGATTTCTCTTAAAGGGAGTGCTCCTAATCTCAGCTTGTTACCTGTATAAAAGACACCTGTCCACAGAAGCAATCAATCAATCCGATTCCAAACTCTCCACCGTGGCGAAGACCAAAGAGCTTTCAAAGGATGTCAGGGACTAGATTGTAGACCTACACAAGGCTGGAATGGGCTACAAGACAATCTCCAAGCAGCTTGGTGAGAAGGTGACAACAGTTGGTGCGATTATTCGCAAATGTGTTTCTTCAACATCTGTTGTCACCTTCTCACCAAGCTGCTCGGCGATTGTCTTGTAGCCCATTCCAGCCTTGTGTAGGTCTAAAATCTTGTCCCTGACATCCTTGAACAGCTCTTTGGTCTTCACCATGGTGGAGAGTTTGGAATCTGAAAACTGTCAGTCTCCCTTGGTCTGGTGCTCCATGCAAGATCTCACCTCGTGGAGTTTCAATGATAATGAGAATGGTGAGGAATCAGCCCAGAAATACATGGGGGGATCTTGTTAATGATCTCAAGGAAGTTGGGACCATAGTCACCAAGAAAACAATTGGTAACACACTACGCTGTGAAGGACTGAAGTCCTGCAGCGCCCGCAAGGTCTCTCTGCTCAAGAAAGCACATGTACAGACTCGTCTGAAGTTTGCCAATGAGCGTCTGAATGATTCAGAGGAGAACTGGGTGAAAGGTTTGTGATCAGACGAGACCAAAATTGAACTCTTTGGCATCAACTCAACGCGGCGTGTTTGGAGGAGAAGGAATGCTGCCTATGACCCCAAGAACACCATCCCCCACCGTCAAACATGGAGGTGGAAACTTTGGGGGTGTTTTCTGCGAAGGGTACAGGACAACTGCAAATTGACTATGGACGGGGCCATGTACCATCAAATCTTGGGTGAGAACCTCCTTCACTCAGCAAGGGCATTGAAAATGGGTCATGGATGAGTATTCCAGCATGACAATGACCCAAAACACACAGCCAAGGCAACAATGGAGTGGTTAAAGAAGGAGCACATTAAGGTCCTGGAGTGGCCTAGCCAGTCTCCAGACCTTAATCCCATAGAAAATCTGTGAAGGGAGGTGAAGGTTCGAGTTACCAAACAGCCTCGAAACCTTAATGACTTGGAGAGGATCTGCAAAGAAGAGTGGGACAAAATCCCTCCTGAGATGTGTGCAAACCTGGTGGCCACGTCTGACCTCTGTGATTGCCAACAAGGATTTTACTACCAAGTACTACGTCGAAGGGGTCAAATACTTATTTCACTTATTGACATGCAAATCAATTTATAACTTTTTCGACATGCGTTTTTCTGGATTTTCTTTTTGTTATTCTGTCTCTCACTGTTAAAATACACCTTCCATTAAAATTACAGACTGATAATTTCTTTGTCAGTGGGCAAACGTTCAAAATCATGGGTACTTCCCTTACTGAAAGTACCCATTTGTTTTATATATATATATATATATATATATATATATATATATATATATATATATATATATATATATATATATATATATATATATATATATATATATATGTATATATATATATATATAATATATATATATAATATATATATATATATTTAATTTTTTTATTATTCTGTTCATGTACAAGCTGTTTTATAATTATAGTGGGTGGTTATTCATTTAACATAGGAATCAAATAAATTTGAAAAGTAATTCCAAATATTGGGTCGGATTAGAGAAATTCTCCTACTCAGATCTCTTGGCCTAATATTTGAAATTCCTTTGTCTATTCCACCAAAATTCCCTGTTTAACAAATAAACGTCTGCATCTATATCTGAGAAAATGGTAATTTAGAGTACAAGCTCTGTGAGTCCTGTCCCCTCCAGCTTGGGAAATTTTAACATGATCTATGTGGAACTCCCTAAAAGTACAGTATAAAATGAGCATCAAGCATATGATTACACGTCTGTTTTACTTAGGAAGGAACTGTAACAAGTTTTCCTTGACTCTTTGAATGATGAAAGATTGCCTACGTTCTAAACTGCTCGGTTATTAAATATATTTTGAGGTTTATTCACACCAACTTGTGAACTGAGAGATGAATTAGACAATTTAGACTAGAATAGCCAAACTGTGAGCATAAAAGAGATGGAGCTTTTTTTAGTTTTCTGTTCAAACCTAACTGTTTAAATGTTGCTGTTCTGTTTTCATTTCAATATAATTTGGTTTTAGCAAATAAATCCTTAAATGTCTATTTTGTTCCTTGGTTATATTGCATCTCTTTACAAGTCTACATTCATTTTATTTCAGAATGTTTTTTCCCAGTTTACAAGATTGAATAAACAAGAATCATTTAGAAGAACATCCATTCAGGTCTTTATCTTAATTTCTGGGCAAGTCCTGCTTTTACAGGGACGTACATCTGATACCGCCCTACAGAAATAAGACATAGAGGACTGAAAGTTTATTCTGCAGTAAATGTGCTTCGTGACTTGCTTTGGTGAATAAAATAAATTTTCTTGTAATTAACAACTTGCCCAGTGATGAAAATCTATAGACAATGTAAAGTTGCATAAATATTCTTGTCTAAGCTTTCCTTCAAAAGTTATATTGCTAGACAGCCAACTTAAAAACAAAGGTATCTCATTTTGGCCAGTTAGAATGCTAGGAAGGATGCTTAGGGGGGCAGTTGCCATTTAGACTTGAATTTTTGTTTGTTTATTTCCATCACAGGTGGTGCTCATGAAGGTTTGCAGCACTTGGGACCGTACGGTAATATTCCAAATATTGTAGCAGAGCTTACCGGAGACAACATTCCCAAGGACTTCAGAGAAGATAAAGGATATCCAAACCCTCCTAACCCTTGCCCTGTTGGGAAAACAGGTAAATGCATTCCTTGAGTGTTGTTTGCGTGCGGTTTTGTGTATACATGGCTGTAGAAAGATGCAGTTGTGGCCAGGTGGAGAGAATACTACTACTATGGTGTAGGCAGAATATCTAGGCTTTAGGGCTTGATCAGGTGGATTTTTGGGATGTAAAGGAGGCTATGTAAGAAGACAGAAAAAAGTTGTAAGGTGGACCTCAAGTTTCAAACACTGGTGGCGTAGATCTTGCTAGCTGCAAACTCATTCCATATTGGTCAAGGTATTGAGGAGCAGGTTTGGACTTGAGAGAGGTTCTAAAATTGGACTTCAAACGGGACAAACACAGAGGGAATAATTTCCCTGAAGAAGACAATTGCTCAAAATGCGCTGTGTGTGCAGTCATCTGAAAAGACTTTGGTTGAAAGCACCTTATTATGATGTTAGAGTTGGTATGTTTTTATTTGAACACATTTGATGTTCATTCACAATATCTGTATCACTCCTGTGCTGATTTACTTGAGCCAGTAACATACAGTCTCAGAATAATGTGAGTGAGATGTGATTAAGTGTAAAATCCAGTGTGCCACTTGTATTATATAAGCGGTACTACCCTATATGAGTGTTTCTCTTTCAATTACATTTGGAATGAACTCTTATGGGGTGTATATGCTTTTTATATATTTTGTGATGCACTAAGTCACAGAGCACATGTACATAATTGTAAATTTAACACATAGTCCACCACCCACCCACCCTTTGTTTTATCTTGTATTGGTCAGGGTACCCAGGTCTTATATCCTATCCCTGCTTCCTCTGCCCCTAGAGCATACTGCCATATTCAAACTTCTCCAACTACCCATTTTGGTCTCCTCCAACTCCTGAACATATTTAGATCAACATATAGACAGCTTTAACAATTTAATACGTATAATACTAGTTAGTCTCCCAGTCGGAACCTCCACCATTCATCTGCTTTCCCAACATTCTAAAGCTGTCTGCTTTATTTAAAGTCGGCACTAGTGGTTTACGATATGTCTTGCTTTAAGCTTGCATATTGTAATCTCATAATTTTGTCTCCACATAAATTCTCCTGAGTAGAATTTAAAAAATGCTCAGTCTGTGCCTTGTTTGCTTTTATTAGGCATTTTAACACTGCCCCATAATCTAACATTTATTTGGTTGTAGGCAGCAGTGTCAGAGTCCAAGAATGTTGTACATGTCAATCCGCGAGATGACTTAGACAATATATTGGCAAAAGTAAAACTAGGAGACGATTTAAAAGCCAGTTATCAAAACATGGAAAAGCTACCCAAGCATAAATAAGGTATGGGATAAAAACATTATAGCAGGGACAGGGAGATGGGATGTTAGACTCCCGTTCAGAGTGGTATGTATCTACAGAAAAGTTTGATGGTATCCCGAAATAATGGCAGTGAACGTACTGCTCTCTTGCCCATTTTGCATAAGAATCTGTGGGCATTTTATAGAGTTGCAAAATGTATTCTGTAAGAGCCAAGCCTTGACTATAGATTTGGAGAATTTGTCAAATTCGCACAGTTGTGTAAATTATACAATTTGGTTTTAAATGCTCTACAATTTGGTGTTTAAACTCCATAATCTTTAACAGCTGCCATATCTCTGGCAGATCTTTATTTACTTCTTTTTCTTTAATATGCCATATGGTATACTTTACAACAAAACATTTAAGAATTTACTTTAATACACACTCTAGGGCAACAAGTATGTGAACTCCTCTTTGTAGATATTACAAGCATACCCATTCCTCCACGGCTTATGAAACCAGGCCCATGTAAAAATTAGCTGTAAAATGTCCATTATTATAAAGTAATGAGATGAAACAAAGCTCAATTAGAGATTGCCATCTTGCCAACATGTTGGTCACATACTTGCCCTACTGAAGGCACATTTCCAGGTTAACTGAAAATGTGTTTATTGCGAAGTAAGAAGGCTTTCGGTGGTTTGCTGTAATGCTCACTGCTCAACCATAGAACAGTAGAAACAGTCTCTGAAGTTATGAACCATGCTTCTCCATCTGGTAGTCAAATTGATTACTCTTGGTAGAGACTGCATAGTGACAACTGTAGAATTTTATGGAAAATAAATAATGAGCTGTGTATATATATATATAAAAAACAGATAAAATTATTATCTTGTAATACCTTTTTTATTGGACTAACAGAATTTTTTAATGACAAGCTTTCGGGAGAACCTCCCTTTCTCAAGTCTGAAGCATTTCTGAGCAAAACGACACATAGAATTCAAAGTTGAGTTGTGATACAGGGGTTAAAGCGACATGAGTGTAGATAAGACACAGGTTTGTTAGAAAATAGACACCATCTTAGCAGAGGGTCATAACCTGTGTCTTTAAACCTGTGTCTTATCTACACTCATGTCGCTTTAACCCCTGTATCACAACTCAACTTTGAA